TATTAATTAAACTGAATATAGTATATTCTATTATTTTTTTAAATCCAAACCCAACCCCCCTCCATCAATTATTGAACCTGACGATAAACTAATAAATAATCTTCCGCTATCTCCAATTACCCCAATTCACTCAACCTCCGCACCAAACTCAACCTCCGCACCTCGTGAGGGGTTGCACACCGTGTAGACCGCGCGATTATTACAACCAACAATAAACGCCAGCAAATCCGCATTTCTGCCAAGCACTATTTCAGAGCAACAGAGGCTTGTCCTGCAGCTCTCTTCTCCAGTACACACATACATGTACATGTACATGTACATGTACATACTCCAAAAAGGCCCGTCTGGGCCAACGTGGTCGGATGGTTTCTGTCCAGGTTACTCCGTACAAGTTACTACTTATTTACAAGTAATGACCTTCCTTGTGAGAATGAATTGGTTGGCAGCTGTAAAATGGATGATTGTTTTGACAATTTGTGTTTTGAATTATTATTACTCCTAGACGCAAGGAAATTTTGAAAAACTTTTAAATAATAAGATGCGAATTCTCCGTATTTCCAGGAAGAAGAAGATCGGCGACAGCAGCAAATTAGTTAATACCTGCAACCTCTCCTTTCTTACTTGTGTCTGGTGCTGGCGTTTGCCGCTGCTTCAGCGGTCAATCTCAGCGCTGCCGGTGCGTCCTCTTTGGGGATATGTAGCTCGACAAGCTGGTGATATTTTCAAACAGAGAGCAGTTAGTTATTGTCTTCTTCCTATCTTGGGGTAATGAAAAGCCAAAGGTATATACATATATATATAAACATGCGGTAAAGGCGAAATCATGATCCTGAGAAGATAAAAGATAGGAGAAAACTCACCTGCAAAACCTTAGAAGAAGAAAAACTCTCGTCCGCAAACAAGGCGGTCAATTCCTTCTCCGTCTTGATAGAGTGTGTTTTGAATGTATTCGGCTTGGCTCCGAATGCTGGGACGAGATCGCTGAACTTCCAGGGCTGGATGTCGTTGTATACCGCATCCCAGCCGTGAATGCATCGTTCGATAGTGTAGCCGTCGTTACAAATTACGAAGCTAGGGTTGTTAGCGATGACGTGGATATTTCAGTGACACCAGATATACATATATATATATATTATATTATAGATATATGTAATATCGAGGAGTTTTTTTACCAGTGTCAGGAATCAGGGGGTTGTTAACTCACATGATAGGGGTTAGGTTATGTCGGATAATGGTGCTCAATTCTTGCGCTGTTAGCTGGAAGCTTCCATCCCCGATAAACAGAATCGTTCGTTGGCCTTGGTTCTTCTCTTTCGTTGCAAGAGCAGCGCCTTGACAGGCACCAAGTGCATAGCCAATACTGCCCCACAGAACCTGGCTTAGGGCAATCACACCCTTGGGAAACCTTGTTTCCCATATGCCAAAGTTGGCTGTACCTGTTTCGGTTATGATAACGTCCTTCTCCCTAAGCCATCGGCCAACCGTAGGCCAGAACCATGCATGGGTTATAGCAGATGAGGTTTCACGAAGTTCGTGTTTCGGTGGCTGGTTCGTGATTATGCGGCCCGGGGTTGTGTGTAGCTCCCCCATGCGGTCGGCCACTTTGCGAAGAACACCCTTCATGTGGATGTTTGGATATTCAGAGTAGCGAACGGCAACGTAGGTGCTATGAAAGTCAATTGAATTCATACGGCCGATACGGTAAGTAAATCCAGTCGTGTTGAAGTCTGACTTTATGGCGCCAATGTTAAGGATCAGATCGGACGACTCGACAAGTTCTTTGACCCCTGCACTTGAGCCATCACCGGCATAGACACCGCCGTAGTTCGGAAGCGTTTCGTCAATAGCACTCTTTCCCATTGGGGTGACGAAAGTCGGCAAACCAGATCTTGTGACGAGGTCATGCACCTCGTTGAGGACACGGTGCCGGATAGCACAAGCGTCTATCAGGATGACCGGAGATTTTGCAGCATGGAGATACTTCAAAACGACGTCCACGACGTATTCCTCCTTTTCCTCTTCGTTGTCTGGGCGCTTGAGGTCAATCGGGACTTTCAGTCGTTCCCCTTCCACCTTCTTCTTCACCATATCAGTAGGCAAAGTGATGTATACTGGTCGACTCCGGATCCAACATTCCCGTATGGCGCTGTCAATAAGAGCCGCAGCTTCATGTGGGTCGTTCAACTTGGCAACGTAGCATGAAATGTTGGCACTCATGTTAACAAAGACATTGAAGTCTCCGTTGCCCAAGGTATGATGGAGCAGCATGCCATCGCGCTGGGAAGCTGTACTGGGTTGGCCGACGATATGCACGACGGGGACGTACTCGGAAAAAGACCCGGCGATGGCATTTAGGGCGGAGAGCTCTCCGACGCCGAAGGTTGTGACGAGTGCTCCCATTCCATTCACGCGTGCGTATCCATCGGCAGCATATCCTAGAATTAGGGAGTTGAGCTTCAGTAATTATAACTTTGAATGGGATTAACTACAGCGAGTCCAATTTACGGGTGGATGCTATGTTTGTATATGCATACCAGCGTTTAGTTCATTGCAATTGCCAACCCATTCGAGGCCGCAATTGGGCAAATAATCCAATGCCACTAGGTTGTAGTCACCTAGAAGAATAATCTATTATTAGCATGATCCAATTTCGATTGATTGAGAAGGAGAGGTACCCTACCTGGAAGGCCATGGACAGATCGAATTCCGACCTGACGGAGCCGCGTAAACAGATACTGGGCAACGTCAACGGGAGATTTAAGCTCGTTTCTCGGAATATCGGCTGCCATTATAGCTGTGATTGGTATTCAAAAATGGAATGGACTTGTTTATGGGAAGCTAGACCAATTACACGGAAAATGATAAGAGAGAGGAGATATATAACGAGGTTAAAATGATATGTGCTGACTGGAAGCCAGAACCAGCTTTAAGTAGTTGGCAGAGTCTCGCTATTTCTACGCTCTAGGTCCTTACAGCCGGCACCGTTGCCATTGAGACAGCACATGTTTTCCTGGCAAAGTTTGAGATGGGGAACAGTGATGAGCAATGTATGATGTCAACACAGCCGCCGAGTTCCTGTTGTCAGTTTACGTACTACGTAGATAAGTAACTTATAGTTAGTTACTACTAATAAGTGTATCTAGCTTGGAGGAGACTAAGTCGGCCGTGGATATCACGTGGTAACTAACCCTTTTTGGTAATCAAGACGTCCGTCAGGGTAGGGTAGGGATGGCGCAGGAGAATTCTAGAAAATTTGAATTAACAACTTTAGTTGACAGGAGGAACCCTGCGTTCACCATAGCTATGTTCTAGTATTTATGCTAGGATCTGGGCAGTAAAATTATCCTTACCAGTAACTATTGACCAACCCGCTTGGAAACCCGCCCTTTAATCCTCGGGCCACTCAAGACAAACTGACTGCCTTGTATGTATATCTTTCAAGAAATAAGTCTTGACTATGGCTGGAATTGGTATCTTCTTAATATTATCCCAATGGTGGCTGGATTCTTGTTTGTCTCCGCTAACCTCTACACCAGGAATTGTTTCAGCCGCTGAAGAGGTCGAGGCCGTCGACAAACAGGGGAGAACTCGTGGTGGGTTTTGCCCTGCCATTTATCATCCCTCATGCCGGGCCCAGCAAAAAGATCTCATGATGGTTGGGGAGATAAGCCATCAAAGAAAACCAAGGTGCGGATGCACTTTTTTTATATTATTACATAGTCCTACTTTTTCGGCTCTAGCGCAATGTCTCACCTCAAAAGGCTCAACGGGATCCTATATTGGATTATCTAACATTGAAACATAACTAGAAATCAAACCTTTGGTTCAACAAGAGCAATACGCGCCAATGGAGTTATAGGCGTGTCATCGAGAGAGGTGACGCGGGCATGTTTGTCACGTCGAACAGGGGAAAGGAAGCAAAATGCGTCTCCGAGATGATAGACATACTCTATCAAGTCAGTCTTACTTGGCCCCCTTTAATACTTGCTCTGCTTCTCCAAAACCTCCACATTGAGAAAAAAAGTCTCATCCTCCGTTATGAAATAGGATCTAGAAAGCCAAAAGCTTCTAGCTGGAACACCAAAGGATGAAACATCTACCTCGGATATAGATAGTAAACAACAAGAAGAAGAAAAGGAGGAAGACGATATCGAGGCTCAAATCCGCAAGGAAGTAGATGACTTGAAACCAAACAAGGACAAAAAAAACACCAATCCTTTCCAGGCGGTGAAACTAGACATACCCTGCCGTACGTCACCTCCCACATAATTGGCCCCAACCCGTCCCATCCCAAAATAACAACCTAACACTTAAAAAAAAACCCCTCCCATCCAAACGCACACAGTTTCCTTCATAAAAATCGATAAAACCCTCGACCCAGTCCAAATCGCCCATCGCCTCTGCACAGAGGCGCGGGAAAACCCATCCAAAAAGCGCAGCCGATGGATCCAGCGGATAACGCCCATAACACTCACGCAAAAAGTCCTTGGTGGTGGCATTGAGCAATTATCGCGTGAGGTTCTTAAACCACATTTCCACTCCGGCGGGCCGTCGAAAAAGGTGAGGGCAATCAATCTACCGGGTACTCCCTTAAGACCTTCGGTTTCCCGCGTCCCCTGACCCCGCCGTCGCCCTTCTTCTATCTTCATCTACCCGAAGTCAGACCCGTGAACCCCCTAACTAAAATTCCCGAACCCCTGAAAAGATATATTATATATACCTCAACGAATATTCCAACGCTTACCTCTCATTGCTTAGTACGCGATCCGCACCTCAATAAGAAACAACACAGAATGGACCCGCGACACCTTAATCCCCCTCGTAGCCAAAGCCGTCGGACCCGGCCACTCAGTCGATTTGAAAAACTACGACCTGCTGATCCTGGTGGATATCGTCCAGGTAAATAAATAACTCTCTTTGCAGCGTTTCTCTTCTCATACTTACTACTACTTAACCCCTTTTCATTTCCACCTCCCCTCCCCTCCCCACCGCTACCTTCCCATAACCCTAACCTCACCACCCCAACCCAAAAAAAACAGAACATATGCGGCATGAGCGTCGTCGGTCCCGACTACGACGAGCTGAAAAGATACAATCTCTCCGAAATATACGATCCGACCCCCAAACCGGGACCCAAGCCTTCACCCGCACCTGCACCCGCATCCGTGTCCGCCGCTTCAGCAGATGAAAGCAATATGCCAGCCGGTGCTGACACTGCCGCTGACGCTACCGCTGACATTGACTCAACGCCCCTGACTCCAGTTATCCCAGCAGCGGTAGAAGGTGGAAGTGAGGCAGGAGAGAAAACAACTTGAATATAAACCACGTGGATTGCCCTCCTTTCTCCTCTTCCTCCCTCCTCTTCCCTCCTCTTCCCTCCTCTTCCCTCCTCTTCCCCCCTCTTCCCCCCGCCTGTTGGCGCCACATCGATTTATACTGTATATGTGTGCGTGTGTGTGTGTTGTGTTGTAGTCCGGGAACGAGCGAGTGGGGAGTTGGAGCGAAGTTCATACTCATGGAGCCGGCAGAAGAAAATTACATAGAAATCGTTTAACATCCTGTAAAGCAGAATATGATTCACTCGACCTTTTTTTTTCCTTTTTTCAAAACGTTTTCAGTAGCTGGCGATGTGCAAGAAAGGTTCCAGTAGAACTACTCCCTAAAAGTAACATGAAAAGATCAAAAAAGACGGGGAGCAACCGATTTAAATTTCTGCTACCGATAATGGAAAATATCTACCCACAATAGGGATACCAGAGTCGTAATTATCTAAAACAACCATTCAGATTCTGGCAGAAGCAACGTCGCTAGGCCCGATGATTCCTTGTTTCTGTTTTAATTTTTCTGACAAAGACACAACCAGCCCTGCCTTCGTGCCTCCCCTACCTCTGCTTGTTCGCACTGTAAGGACTCTTTCCCCAGTCAAGGCAAAATCAAGGTTCTCTCCCCCCCGGTCCTAAAATTCAACGATCCCCGTTATAAATCCATCTCCATCGTGAAACACAGCGACAACCGCTGTTCAGATATACCACATCTTCAACGCTAAGCGATCACCCTCACCGATCGGAAGCAGCTGCCTTCCTTCAGACTTCGGGGGCTCCGCTGAAGTTGGGGCTTGGCCCTGTTTGACCTGAGGCCCAGAGCGGGGACCGGAGCTCGCGGGAATATTTTCATGCGCACGAGCCCGGTTGGAGACCAAATGGGCATAATACACGGCGGGAACTTGGGGAATTTATCTTTTAGTTTATGCACGCAATCAGAAGGGGGAAATAATAACTTACAAAGTGACACTGAAGTGGTCGATCGCATGTATTGGTAACAATGCTCATAAATCATGTTCTGCAAGTCTTTGGGCGCGTGGTTCATTTCATCAACCAGCACATGATAATGGACGGGGCGGGATGTGCCTTGCAAAGCGATATGCGACCACAAAAAGAAATCCCATCCATGGGCACTAGTAACGTCCCTCTCAACCAGAGTGCCTGGCAATACATTTCCATTCTTATCCGCTGCATTGCGGTCCCCTGGTTGAGGAAAGGCGCGAATATGATGGCGTTTTGAGGCGACTACCACAGTGATCCTTCCGCCCCATTCGACACCCTTATTGAATTCATTTAGCAAAGCTCTAACAAAGGGTATCTCCTGTTGCAAAACTTGCTGGAACTCGCCCTCTGACACTCCATCGCGGAAGTAGTAGATATTCTGAGGGATTCTACCTTGGCCCACTGTTGCAGACCATTCGCGGATGAGTGGGGTAAGCATGGATTTGATATTAGCTTGGCTTATCATCTCCACACGATCACCATTTGTTTCACAAGCTCCGGTATACCGACCACCAAATTGATCCATAGATACAGTCATAGCGGCCATCGATGGGGCAAAGCTTCCCGGGGCGGAATGAGAGATATCGGCTCCGATAATCATGCTGAAAGGAGCTAGGCCTTTGGTAATTTTTGAGGCAATCCTCGCAGTGGTCCCTCCGAGCTTCGCATTGACTTTCATTAAAACATTTGAAATGTATTGGCCGTTGCACTTTGCAACTTGGGAAGCCTGCAAAACCTGGGAAACAACACCGAAGCGACAGTCACAAGATTTCTTGATCCTGGTGTAATGGAATGCATTTTTATCCATCACTATGAAAATAAGCAGCTGGGGCCGCTGATTAAACTTGTTTCCAGTAGAATGAAACAGGTTGTATGCTGCTTTTGCAGGATCTGCTTCTACCTCACCAATAAATGGTCGAGTGCTGGCAACAACTCCACCGTGGCCTTGGTATGCACGCACAAATGCATCAACAAACCTTTCCACATCTGCCTGGTTGACATGGCGACTCCTGAACACACCGACGCCCCAAGAAGTCAGTGGCTTTGAGTTTTTGGAGTAAAACTTCTTCCCACGAAGATCCCATCGGCCTGCAGTACCTGGATTCACACGTTGATTACCTCCAAAAATGATCTCTGGGTTAGGGAGTAGGCGGGCCTTTGTGGTCGTCATGGACTCAGAAATCTTTAAGCCGAAGGCATTAAGCACAGGGTCTGTGGCGTGGGCAAGATTCAATTTCGACTCTTCAACTGCTTTGCGGCGTTCGCTTGGACGTGTGACAGCAAATTTGATCATTGATGCTGTCTGGAGCTCATTAAGCTTAAAAGGAAATCTCTGCGGACGATGGATTGCCAGAAATTCCATGGGATACACCACTCCCTTTTTGGTCATTTTCACGAGAGGAAGTTCCCAGTAGCTGAGAACAACATTGTACCTAGAGCGGAAGTAGTCATAGATACTGATAGTGCGAACTTGACCAGTCGCCCTGTCAGGCATATCGATCGTGTATTCCTTCGCATTGACCGGAAGGAATCCTTTGATCGTCCATTCCCTCTCCGGGCAAGGACAACCCTTATACGAGGCCTTCACAGTTAATTTGTGAAAGCGGCTTAGCTGATGGAATTTGGCGGATGGAGCACGACCGCCATGGCCATCGTCAACCGGCTTGGTCCAGCTCATAAGTTGCTGGACATCGCGAAGTTCCAGGGCCTCGATCGCCGCACTCAGGAGAGAGATAAGAGCCCAAAAACAGGAATTGGAAACATCGACGTTTAGGGCCAACCGACCAGGCTAGAAAGATGTCAACATGATATCAATTGAATGTTTGGGGGCAACGTACGTTGACCGCACGAATGGCCTGGTAGATGCCTTTGTATGCAAATACCCCGCCTCCAACGGACGCCTTTGGGTTTTTTTCACTAAAGAAGGAGCGCTTAATCGGAATGAATTTTTCGCTGGGGGTCTCTCTCAACACATGGTCGAGGAAGCCTTGGGAAAGATTAAGTTAGATGAAAATCAAAAGCTAGAGTAAAAGTGAAGAGGATCACATACTCAGCCCTTCCAATACTTCCTTGGAGATGCTTCCATTGCCGCGAAGATACTCCTCAATTACTGCGAGGTTAACCTTCTTCGTGTGGCGAACCACCAAGCGAAATATATTTGGGTCTTTTGATCCAGATCTGCCCTGCTCGGCGTCTAGGTCAACCATGACGTTAACGTCATTAGGCAGTCGGTCAAGCGACCTGAGGAGCTGTTAGCCGAACGAAAGCTAACCTTTAGTAAGTGAACTGTGAGCTTACCACGCCAATTTATTCCCATCGAAGATAAACTTTTTTCCAGTTTTGGCCAGTCTTGTTTTCGACTGCCACACCTTCTGTACTACGGCGCGTTTTTCGGAGCCATTACCGATGTGTACCTAGAGGAGAATGAGTAATAAAATCGGGGCTTCGGAGTAAAAGCGTAACTTACATCGTACTGATACACGGGCTTGGTGGGGAACTGGGTGATGGCGTACGAATTTACAGCTACGGCAATCTCTTTGCCAGTAGCGTTATAACCCGCGCGCTTGGCAAGGTCCTTTCGAGCGAAGAACTGTTCAGCGGACTGGTCAGTGACATGTATATGACGAAATAAGCTCGCGTCATCTGTCTTTTGCGAAGGCGCTTTGGACCCTCCGGAGCCGCTCATTGTAGAAAAATATATGATCCTGGAATACAAATGGAAAGGGGATAGGATGTAGAACAATAAAAGAAATAGCAATATTTCAGGGTAATAATAGAATTATGGGAACGAAAACGACGAGAGGTAGGAAGCACATGGGAGAAGAGGCAGAAGGGAAGAAGACAATATAAGCGGAATGGAAAGGCCCTTTTATCTTTAGCAGAAGGATGGGTGTGAATTCCCCCCGTATGGTAATGGTCCACCCAAATCAGGCAGCTTGACTGAAATTCATCCCAGAGAATTTTCTTGGTGTGAAGCTGGGGCTGTGTCCGGCGCTGGAGAAAGAAGGGTTCAAGACTGTCTTTGTGAATGCAATGTACGTCCCCATATCCGAGAAGTTACATGATAAAGCTTTCACTCCGCTTTGCATACTCTATGGATTGTTGTTGTCACACCTCCCGACGCTGGAAACTGTAACAAGGTAGACAGGCTACCCGTCATTCCAGCCTTTGAGAAGATATTTGGCTTCTCCCCATAGCCAGCCAGCAATGAAAAGCGGAACAACTAGTTACAGTTGCCCCACAAGGTGAATCATACATGGAAAGCAGACATTGAAGACTTCAAGGCAATATGGTAACAGTAATAAGACAGGGAATTATGCTTACTTCTGGGTTTAGCTGATAAGCATCCGCTGGTAGATCAACATTTCGACACATATCTGTCAATTTCGGAATCCTTTCTGGATCACGAGCAGGGTCTCGCAGAGGGAGATTCCCAGTCTCCATCCTCTGAGCGATGCTACCAAAGGTTGGGGTGCCTGGGGCCGGGCTTCTACCACGGGCTGACGGTGACCCAGCGCGTGGTGAGCCAGGAGGTGAATTCATCCCAGTGCGTGGTAAGCCGGGAGGGGAGTGCATGCCAGCACGTTGGCTAGTGCTTCCTGGACCTGATGTCCCGTCGAGTTGCGTATGGCTCTGGGGGGGACTATTCCCATTGTCTTCTTGGGTGGTACCATTTCGCCTGTCGCGTTGGCGACGACGCTTGCCCGCACCAGACATGATTCTATAGTCTATCAATGGAATGACTTAAATTTGAGGTGGCCGTGGGTTGAATCAGAGGGAGGTAGATGAGGGAGAGTATAGTGTGTGCTAGGTAACAGTTTGCCGGGGAGGAATCAACGCACGATAGTATGGAATGCAGTATACACCAAGGGAAAATGCTAACTATCCGAGGATGACGCTGCTGGGCTCGATGGCCGGCAAAATAACAAGACGTGTATAATATGGCAGAAAGCTTGGGATTGGAGTGTTAAAGAGTTTGTGGAGAAAGGGAACAAGCAGGCAACACAAAGAAGGAGAAGTAGCAACAACCGCAACAACGAAAACAAAAGACGCGGATAGTGAGCTGGATGAGAACAGATTAACGGTGGATGGCAGCAAAACCAGCTTGGAGCAACTAACAGACAGGTAGCCGCAGCCTGCACAGGCAATGCAAAGAATGATAGCCGCAGGACGCGTTTTGTTTTGTTCTCTATCCGTCCGTGCTGTGAGGGGTGTTCCACAACAAGAAAGTGAGGGAAAAGATGAGAAGAGAATGATATCTCAACTGGGAGATACTGCTAAATGTGACTACGCGTGTAATGAGGGCAGAATAACCGGGGGTATGACGGGAAAGTAAGGAGAAAATGAAGCTGGAGCTGATGATTGAAGTGGATAATGTATCGCGAGGTCTTTATGCACGCGATAGAGAGTATGTGAGAGCGATGTGGGCAAGCACGGGTATCAACAGCGGTAAGAGAAAGGATTGAGAAAGAGAAAAAAGAGTAAAGGTAGAAATAACTCACCTTACCAGTGTATGTGGCAGTCCAAAGGCTCTTAAGAGTACAGGAAAGATCAGTCCGATGATGGGAGTGAGAAAAAGCAAGCACTGAAGGGAAGTTGAGATATTTTCAAGGTGCTGCTGACTATAGCAATGCAGATATGGAAGGCCAGCTAGATGCCGAAGATAGATGATAGATGATGATGAAGAAGAAGGAGGAGGAAAAGGAGAAGGGTAAGATGATGACGATGATGATAGATGATGATGATGAAGAAGAAGGAAAAGGGACAAGAGAAGAGAGGAGAAGAATCGATATAAGATGGTTGTTGTCTCCTGGCGCTGAGCAACAACAACACAACACAACACAACACGTCCCGATTGGGAAGGCTTTGTCTTCCCGCCATCCTACTATCAGTTGCCATCAGAGCCCCAGCCGCTGCTCCATATGGTCTCCATCCCAACAATTCTCCGATACATGGGCGGTATGCCATTCTCCCATACATCATCATCATCATCATCATATCAGGCAAGAAGAGGCAATGAATGTGTGTACGAAGGGCTAGCGGCACCTCCAGAGAGAATTTCACAACAAGGTCATGGTATCCCCTCCCCGTCCACAACCCATTAATTACCCCTCAAAATGGGTATGACTTGTCGAACAGTTTTATTCAGCTCGACTGAAAGGACGAAAAATCTCAGGGAGACAGGCAGTGCGAAGAAGAGAAGAGAAGCTCGAAACACCAGTTTCCTGCTTCTCCCGACGCCGTCGAATACAGCCAGTATTATTAACATCAGCCTGCGAAATACCCTGAGTAAAAAGATCTCCTGGCCCATCCATATTGATAGACAGGTAGATTTCCATAACACATCCCCCTTCTATCTCCCCTGCCCGGTAGTAAGAAAATGGGGATGCAGTTGTTGAAATAAGGTTATAGTTACGCTAGCGCAAAGCTATATGTTCAGGCTAATTTGCTCTTTTGCTTTTTCGCTTTTTCTTTTCCTTTTTAAAGGGGCATTTAGATTATCTCGCGCCAGAAGAATCAACTACAATATTAATAACGATATAAAAGTTCCTATTGCAACGAAATTATAATAGCACGAATGCCTGACATTGTAATAACGTCATGCATACACACGCTTGAAAGGGGCGAGAGGACGGAATATACCTGAATAGAAATAATATTCAAAGTAACTAAGAAGTGACTGGCTCCTTCCACCATATCATATCACCATGAAAAATAATCCCCAGAATTGTTTAGACAACGCCTGGCGAAAAGATAGAGTAGATTTTTTAAAAAAAAAGAAAGAAAACCGGAATGACAAACCTCAAAAATCAAACGTGCATAATTCCCATCTTTGAACCGCATTTTAATGAAAACATGAAAACACACACACCAGAGATGAAAGTATGAAAATGAAAAAGAGGAGAAAATCGAAAAGACGATGACAATATTCCCAAAGCTACCTACCCTCTCTTTTTTCTCTTTCTTCCATTCATATGATACATATTTCGATGATAGCAAACAAAAACTACGACAGAAAAGGGAGAATGGAAGCCTGAAGGAAAACGAAAAGAGCAAGACAAAAAAAGACCAAATTGTAAAAACATAGCGCGTAACATTGAGGAAATGTCCTTTAGGCCCCCCGGGAAACCAAGCATGCAATAACATCAAAACAGTCGACGGAAAAAAAAGGGTAAATAGGCGAACATCCCTTGTGTGTAAGTCCGGAATGGTAGTACATGTCGAATACTAGTGAACTATGCCAATTCTCAATAAACACGATTGAGTAGGCTATGTCTATGACCCCGGACGGTACATACCTACATATTATAGGGAAGCATCATTAGTGCAGCCCGTCTACTACCCATTAAAAGAGATGTATACAAAAATAAGAGATGGGTTGGGGAGAGGGAGAAGGAAAATCAAAATTTCAGCATTCAATGTTCAACTTACCCATATACTGTCCACGATTCATACCCCCCGCCATCCCACCAACACCACCGCCCCCAGGCGGCGGAACGGGCGGTCGAAGTTGACTCACCGACGACGGAACATCCAACTGGCGCAACAACGCAACCATCTTCTCCGGCGAAAACCTCGTGGCATCATACGTAGACGCTCCCGGGATAATGCTAAGCAAAAACATGATCTCCCGCGGTAGCGGAATTGGGATGGGTGGCTTGTTTCCCTGACCACCACCAGCACCACCGCCATACCCACCACCCATGCCGCCTCCCCCGCCTCCACCTACGCCGCCGCCATTCACCACCTGCTGCTGAATTTGTTGTTTCTGCTGATTCAGTCGCCGGCCGGCTGCACCCTTCAGTGGTGACTCAGCCCGCATGAACTTACGCGGACGATTTGATGCGTCATCGTCGAATTCTTCGGGTGCATAGGGACGTTTGGGGGAGTGGGTTGCTGTTGTTGGCGGTGCTGGTCCTGACCCTTGAGGATACCGAGTAGAAGGGGATCCCTGGCATGGTCGCATCTCCTCCGTAGCAGTAAAGGAGGCCAGTTTTGGTTTCGTCTGGGAAGGGGAGAGGATTGGTTGGAAAGCAGTGGGGTCGAAGGCTGGTGTAGAAAAGCGGTGGAGGAATTGTTTGAGGACAGGGTCTTCAGGGAATAACTCTCGCATCCGAGCCTCGAGGTTCAGGATCTGGACCATATCTCCATATCTTGATTCATGTTCGTGCATGAACGCGAAGATGGGTTTGGCCTTGTGTGTGTTGTTTGGATTAGCTGCTAGTCTCCTGACGGACATCTCGAATACGGCTCTCGCATCTAGAATTAAAAAAAAGGTTAGTAATGACATTTGAGCAAATGGATGAGTTTCAAAAATTGAACCAAGCAAAATATGACATACTAGTGATATCATTAATGTCGATAAGATGTTTAAGATACTCCAGAGTGAAATTTTCATCCTCGGGAAATAGTTTTGCGCCGCGCTCGAATATCTTCGTCGCTGCAGGATCTTTATAGCAGTAATGCTCCAGTAACGCACTCGCGATGTAGACATCGCTAGTTATGCGCCCGCGTTTGCGCGCATCAGCAAAAATCTGTCGTGATCCTGCCATTTCTCCTGGTTTGCCCTTCCCTTGAATACGGCGCATTGATCTCATGAGAGCAATCCAAGCGAAGGATATGGTTTTCGACAGCTGGCCAATTGCCTCCGCATGCTTCTTCTTTAAAGCCTCGATCTGACTATTTTTCGCCGCTTCTCTTGCCTTGGCAGCATCGTCGCCCTCATCCTCATCCTCCTCATTAGTAACGACCATGACATGCCGTCGAGAGCTTTCTGCTTGAGAAGAAAAGCTCTCTTCAACAAATGCAATATCCTTAGCCTCCTGGGCCTTTGCTTTCGATATCAAGTCGTAAAGGGCATCAAGCAGTCTGTCATATGGCTCTCTAGCTTTGGCACCGCGCTTTCTAGAGTCCTGCTCAGATTCCGTGGTAACTTCTATTCGATCAGCGAGTTTAAACGCAAGTAAGCAACTCTCTGGATTGGCATCTATTCCTTGTTTTAAGAAGTCATTGCCCTCAGACTCCATTTCATTTTGGAAACAGAAATCTGCAGCATCAAACCATATCTCGGGCAGGAATCTCAATGCCATCAGCGACTGTCGGTAAACATAAAGCACTCGAGCCTTATAACCAGCACCACCATCCTCATCCTTTAGTACTAAGGGATCATCTTTTTCCCATTTGATCCAGCGCTTCCATATCTCCACTTGCTTATTGTACATTTCCTCACCCTCACATCCTGGCGCGGGAGGCAACCTGGGTAGCGAGGCACGGACGAGTTCTCTGGTAATGTTCTGCAACTCTGTAAAAGAGCTCCGTGCCGTCATATAGGCTGGGGATCTCTCCTGGAGGAATTTTCGACCCTAGATAGTTCAGACAATATAAGCGTTAGTATCCTGTTCTATTGTATAATATGAAAGGTTTAGCATGAACGTACAGTCAACTTATTCAAGCCCATTTCAAACTGATCGTACTCCTTCCAAAGGGTATTGACAGCTTGCGTGGGAACACATATGGCTCTCTGGTAAGCTTTTCGCAAAAGATCCATCTTCTGTTGATCTTGCCAACCCGAACCACCAATATTCCCAGGTCCGGAGCGAATGAACTGGATGTAATCAACCCAAATGTTCGCGGAGTCTTTATCAACTCCGATGTTCTGCAGAGCGAAGTCGTAGGCAGATGAAATGATACCTCGAGCTTGGCCGGTCGTATCTGTGGTTAAATTATTACGGCGACGAACATAATCAAGATATACGGACCATAACTGGACATTAGGTATGGACAAGAGACTCTTATTAAAAATCTGCTCTAATCGATAGAGTTCGTTATTTTCCGACTCCATGTTTGCATATGCGACCCATTGCTCAGCCTGTTGGAGAAATATTAGTAGGGCTTCAATTTTTTTAAAAAAAATAAAAATAAATAAATAAATAAAAATAAATAAATAAATAAAATATAAAATAAAATAAAATAAAGAATATTTTAGTGAGAATATTAGACCTACAGCTGATGGGAAGATTTTGAAGAATCTCTCATAGACCTCTCGGGCACTATCAAGTTTATTTCGGGAGCGGTGTTCGTTAATTAGCTCCAACCAAGCGTCCGTATCACCGCGCGGATCAGCCTGAATCCTATCCTCCAAGATACCCACTCGATCATGAGGAAGACGGCCTCGCGGTGCCGCAGCTGCTGTAGGAGTAGAGGATATAGATCTGTTTGCAGGTTGAGAGGCAGTATCGCCCGTTGTCACGGTCGGCGGTTTTGAATCATCCTGCAAGTAATTGGAGGCACCATCACTTGGCGCCGAAAGACCAACATAGGAAGGAGGAAGAGATGAGCTATTGGGAGGAGGAACATCTTGAGGAGGAGAGTTTTTGTCTTGAGCAGTCTGCAGTTGATGTGATACATGATATTGAGAAACATTTTCATTGGCATTTTGAGAAAGGGAATGCTGACGACTGCCAGAAGGGTCAGAGGCCACATTATCATCATCATTACCCTCATTCCCGTCATCACCACCATCACCACCATGAACATGACTTAACGCTGCAGGAGGTTCATATTCAGCCTCGCCTCTATCCTCGTCGCTATCCTCCCCGACAACAAAATTCCCAATGGACTGGGATGACACTTGTACAGGAGCAGAGGTATTGGAAGGTGGAAGAGGGGTGGGATCTCCAGGTTCAGACCCGGAGGGGATTTGTGAGGGAGGAAAAGTATGACTATTTTGCACGGCTTCAGAGAAATCTTGGGACATAGACCTCCGCTTCAAGGAAGCTGAAAGGGAAGAAGTATTTGAAACAGCACTCGGTTTTGAATCTGTTAACTGCGCAGAATACTGATCTTGATGATTTTGAACTGTTTTTGAAGGATCATAATCGTCTGAGTCTGAACTATCCCCATCCTGATCCCCAGATGCCTCATAACTCGCGATATCTGCATTCAAAGATTGCGCTTGGAAAAATGCTTTTTCAGCCTCATCCTCTGCCATGACTTAAGAAACAAATTGCGGATCGGGAGGATAGAGCGGGTTAAATCAGTCAATCCAACTAACTATTCAAGAGATTGTCAGTGATCGAAAGGGAGGCATGGGGAGGGTGCTGATAAATGGACTGGAAGAAACCAACCGGAACTGGAAATAAAAGATGCGGGATACGATCGCGCAGACTAACAGTCAGCACCCCGTAAAAGTGTGACAGAATGGAGTTGTCAAAAATCGCAGCACAGCAACCACGTTGAAGAGGAGGTTGAGCAAGTCTGTTGCAACTTATCAAGGTCGTTGTCGGTAGCTGAACGGTGATTGAATGTTCTCTTTCCCGAGTGGTTATGTTTGAGCCTCCTGTCCGAAAAAGGGAATGATTCATCACGTGGTTAATCGCGCTAAACGCCACCAAACGCGACTGGAGGGGGATCACGTAGGTAGCGAGACTTGACGAGCTCAAGGTTAAACCAACCTCCTCCAGCTGAGCTGATATCTCTATCATATAAGAACCTCCTTATCTCCCTCTTGTCCCTCTTTCTTTTCTCCTATTTACTCACGCTCAAGCACATATCTATATACTTTCTCCCGATCTTGGTTTTGCGTCTGTCAGTAGCACTTCAAAATGTCGGTAGTGTCACTCCTTGGTGTGCGAGTTATCAACAACCCTGCACCATTCACCGCCCCTTATGAATTCGAAATTACGTTCGAATGTCTCGAACAGCTGCAAAAGGGTGATTAATCCCTCCGTCCCGACTTTTATTGCGCCGTGAAGAGATGGGCCAAAGACAAAGAAAGGTTCAATTCTTACTGAAAAATTGCCCCGCCTTTAGATCTCGAATGGAAGCTCACTTACGTCGGCTCCGCCACTTCGTAAGTTTGCCTTAAATTATATTTTACGCAGCTCGAAGTTAGCCTAGCAATCGCATGAAACTGACCTGAGCGCCTGGTTAGATCTGAACATGACCAAGAACTTGATTCCCTACTAGTCGGGCCCATACCTGTTGGCGTCAATAAATTTATCTTCGAAGCAGACCCACCAGATCTTAAAAGAATCCCAACGTCTGAAATATTAGGCGTGACGGTGATCCTGCTTACCTGCAGCTATGATGGCCGGGAGTTTGTCCGTGTCGGCTACTACGTGAACAATGAATATGACTCGGAAGAATTGAACAATGAGCCACCCTCCAAACCTATCATTGAGAGAATTCGACGGAACGTGCTGGCTGAGAAACCAAGAGTTACGCGGTTTGCCATTAAATGGTTTGTCCTGACCCCCCTATTCCCTGTCGCCCTTGACCAAGTACTTACCATACCACCATTGAATTTACATTTGCTGACGCGTATTTTTACTTCTACTATAGGGATTCCGAAGACTCCGCCCCAGCAGAATACCCACCAGATCAGCCAGAAGCAGACGTCTTAGACGATGACGGAACAGCATATGGCGCCGAGGAACTCGAGCTCGAAGAAGCTCTGCGAAGGGAGCTTGAAGAAGTGGATGAGAAACCGCAAACAGCAGGCGCCCCTGGTGAGGACCTTGAGATGGGTGACGCTAGTGAACCAGGGGCTCCAATCAAAGATGAAGATGGAGATGATAACGATAACGATTCCGATGCTGGAAGCGAAGATCTAGAAGCTGACAGCAGCGGTAGTGATGATGATGACGAGGACGACGAGGGCGACGAGGATGTGGAGATGGGTGATGATACGGAGCAAAAAGGGGACAGCAGTAATCAGGCTAACCAGCCCCCGGCGGACCAACGTCAACAACAGCAAACTGAGGTGATGGTTCACTGATTGAGGCGGTTCCCTTCAGTTTTTTTTTTCTCTCTCTCCTTTTCTTTGATGAAAACTTCCTCCGCCATCTCCCCACCACATTTAACCACCCCGCTCCGTGGATGTTGAACAAATACATATATATTTGCTTTACATCTCTCGACACTATTATCCCATTTATCTCCTTATTTCTTTTTTTTTCTTGTTTTTGTTTGTCATTATCATCTGACTTTACGAATATACAAAGACTTTTATGGCATCCCTCTCTTGTTCATTACCCCTATGACGCTTACGCCCCCCCCCCCCCTTTTTTTTCATCCGTTTACCCTCGTTGGCCATTATTAAACATAAGAAGAGCAAAGATATCGCGCGTGCAACGCTTGCGTCTTCCACCCCGACGTCTGCGAAGCAGCTGATGGATCAATATGAATTTATATCTTAATTCTCTTTTTTCTTCTTTCTTTGTCCCCTCGCCCCCGGCCCCGGGGGTTCCAACCCCCTGGGAAATTCTAGCAGCTTGAAGCAAGACATTTAGCAACTAGTATAACAATACACTAAGGTTTGTCCTTAATATTTTCACGTAACCAGCCTTGGTACCGTAGAAAACACTATCTATTTAGTTTCGTTCTTGCAACCCGTGGTAACGTCATAAAGCATACAGAAGAGAAAAACGCAACCGCATGGCAAACCAGCACCTAGTGTACCCTTCGAAGGAACAGATCAACTGTTGCAGTTAGCGGTAACTGTATAAAAACGCGCATGAACCTGTATATCCGCACCCAAAAAAAATCCAATCCTCTAAAATCCGAATTTAGAACCAATAACTATAGGCATATGTTAGCAAGTCACTACTAATGCACGAAGGGCCAAAAGAAAAAGAAAAGAAAAAGAAAAAAGAGAAAAGAGAGAGAGAGAGAGAGAGATAGAAGCACATACCACCCAACACCGCTTTCTTCTTCTGATTCTTGACGTATTTATTCACATCATCCGCCCAGCCACTACTAGTTTCCTCTAACCGATCTATCGAATCGCCCATAATATTAAGATTCTCTGTCCTCTGCTGCACCTGGCGCTGCATATATGCCCAGTAGCCCTCCTCTCCTCGCGTCTGCGAGGCATTACCACTACTACCCTGCGGCGACCCGCGAAGCTCTGATTGGCGGGACATCTCCTCTTGTCGCATTTGTTCGATCATATGTTTCGACGGAGGTCGATCGGGACCTCCGACTATAAAGAGTGAAGAGCGAGATGAGTAAAAATGGCAGCGAGGTGGGGACGAGGTGGGGAGAAGGTGGAGGGGTGGAAAATGGCATTATTGGTCTTTAACTTACTTAACAAATCCATATCAGCCGGTGTCACATACTGTGTCCCTGATATCCATTGTAGATTCGAAATCGTTGGGCGAGAAGGTGCAGAAAGCGCAGGGTTATATATCGCGTCATCGCACCGGCGTCTAAGCAACTTAGATTAGCAGCCTAAATTCCCAATTTATTCCGCTTTTTGAGAAAGGGAGAGAGGGGGCGTTGACTTACAAAGGTGATCCAGCACCCCAAAGACTCAACATGGCAAGTTCTGAGGGCCCAGTCCAGCCTATTACATCTCCAGAAGGTGAAATAACTGCTTCCCCCACCCTTCTCATGTCCAGAATTTTATCAATCGGAGAAGAAGAAATTTCTTTCAAAGCTGGAATTGAATATGCCCTCGCCTTGCCATCACCAAACACACCAACAAGCGAAGACCTCTCTTCAGCCCTAACTACTGTTGCATAGTCGCACAAGAAGTCATCCCAATCTTTCTCGGCGCCCTTCGCGCTAGAAGGCTTAAACATTCGACAGCCAGAAGGAGTTACAGCAATTACAACTCCATTCACCCGATATCCATTTCTCAAGTTGGCAACACCTTCCTGAGTGGCTAGAGCAGGGACCCCGGTTTCGGCGCTGATAGGGCAAATAGACAATACTCTATCGTCCACACTTCGGGAACCGGCGAAAGAGACGGTGTATGTTCCTCCTGATGGTAGGATTTTGAATGTTGCAAGGTTTCCTTTGCTAGTCCCAACGAGACAGAGAATGCTAGAATAATCTGCATGCTTTGTTAGCAATAAACTAAACCGGGGTAAATGGCAAACCAGGCAAAATAAAGAAATCCTGCTATGTATCAGAGAGAAGCTTACCGTCTCCTTCCAAAGTCATAATTGAGAACTTAATACACGTAGACCACTCGGGGGACGCCTCTGATGCGGAATGATGGCTTTTTCTAATACTCAGGCGTTTCTGTGGCCTAGCAAAATCAGAAGCCTTTGCTGTAAATATTACCGACGGGCCCCTTAAGTCGATGATCGCAAGACTGCCCGACTGGAATCCAACGCAAATGAAGCCAACATCGCTATGATCAAGAGCAGTAACAGGCCCTTGGCCTTGGTTCAACAAAACTAGAGGAAGGAAGCCTTCTTTTAGCCCTGGATCAGCTCTGTGAGAGATATCAGTCAGCTGTCCTGGGCCGTCGTTTTCTCCTAAGGGTAAATCCCGCCCCGCATTCGGATTACGGCCCCATTTGAAAATAGCCACTTCACCACTCTTCATGCCGACTGAGAATTCACCTGCAGCCCCTGCCAACGACATCGCAGATACTTCGATGTTGTGGAAACGACCTACAGCACGCGCAAGATCGACTTGGATTGTAGTGGGATTTTCAATATTATCATCATGACCCGAATCCCACATGCGAACGACGCCATCAGCGTGAGCCGTTTGGACAATATCCCGATTCTCATACCGTTTCATCGGCTTTTTTGCCGGTGCACCTCCAATCACAATGTTTGGTCCATGGGCTCGTTTCTCCCTCCACCCTAACCATCTCGTGCGGTCAACATATGATAAAGCGATTTTGTTGACAAATGGGTGAACAAAGGATAATGACAAATGGAGCATATTTGTGGGAGAAATTGGGTGGCCGCTGGGGAAGCTAAGAGTAACAAGTTCCCCTGAGGAGAGCAGCGCGATCACAGCAATGGGATCCTGCGCATTCGCAAAAAAGGGGGATGAGCGAGGAATGAGCACAAAATCGACAACTTCGGCAGCTGGAGGTGTTTGTAGTTTGCTTTCGCGTCTGGGTTTCGCAAGATGGTTTGAGAGGACTTGCCATGAAGAGGTCTGGTAGTTTGGTGTTGGTCCGAGGTCAAAAAATGTCAAGTGTTTATTCACTTCTGTTGTTGACTCGCCGCCAGCTATTAACAAGCCAGTATCATCAGGATTCTCCTTGCAGCACCATGCTACCTGGAATATTGGCTCCTTTAAAGAGTAAGTTCCCGCCGGGGAACTTGGCGATGCCACTGTCCCTGGTTTGTTAACGTCAACGTCTACTAACGTCCTAGCCATAACAATTCTTCCATCCTTGGGGTCCCAAAAGACAAGGCTCGAGTCATCATGAGCTGTTAGGATAAAAGTTCCCGTAGGATGCCAGACAGCTTTTGTAAGTCTAGGTCTTCGCACCTCTCGAGAGGATGACGGATCCGAGTCTCCACCAGGAGCACCAGGTGGAACCTCATACTGGAAATATTTGGTGGGAACATTCATTTTAATCGAGAAAGTTACAGCTCCTTCTAAATATCCGATTAGAAGCTTTCCGATGTCCCGAGGATGGAAAGCCAGAGATACTATCGGCAAAAGCCTGGACCGAGGATTTCGCTCTTTCCATAGATTGGGGAGTCTGAAGGGGGCTATCATGAGGCGGTCGAGGTCGTACGTAACCAGTTCACCTGTTTGCTGCGCATTAAACGACTGCATTGTCCAAACAAAAATCGCCATGGATGGCAGCATAACCGTATCACATACCGCTTTGTAACCCTATAAAAGCATACTCCAAGCTCGGATCCGTCAAGAGCGCGGTAACATGGCCTGGCGGGGTATAAGCGGCAAGCTTCGTCCGTTTCTCAAGAGAAAATACGCAAAGCTCATGTTTTGAGTCTACGGAAACAATTTTATCGGTGCAGAATTGAAGTATATTAACAGAAGCCTTGCGTGGGAGCGTGAATACTGCAGACACTCTCTCCTGTCCGAATATATAGATTTGTCCGCTCCCATATTGTGTTTCGCTCGTCCCGACAGCAAGCAGTGACTGAACAGGATCGTAAGCAAGGGCGCTAATCCGAGAGTTTATGCCGTACCTGGCGACCTAAAGTAATGGAATTGTTAGATTTCATCCTTTTATAATTTTCTAATCGGGGCCGTTGCTCACATCATCAAACACGAAATGCTCCGGGGCCAGGCCTGCGCTTAAATCGCCATGAATACCGGACTGCTTGCCTCGCAGAAAGTGTGACATATTTTGATTGTTATAGGATTTCCTAGAGCCAGTTAACGATAGCTCCTGTAGTTAGCCAGATGTATATATGGCAGATAGCATCGCACTGCCAACGGACTCATCATATACCAAGAAAGAGTTAATGTTTGGTGACGAGCTGATGACCGACCTCTAGTTACAGCCCTGAGTTGGAAAGCGGGTTGGGCTGGTTATCGGATGACCACGTGATGATAAGGAAGTCTCCCCTTTCAAGCGACATTTCCCATGGAAATGCTAGAGGTTGAACCATCAATTTGGATTAAAACGCAAGAGGTATATATATATAAATACATGTACATTCGAAATGTGCCATATTGGCCTCCCTTCAACAACCCGAGAACTCCAGAAAATGCATCCATCGGCAGGCCAAAAACAGATATATGGAAATGCAAAAAAAATCATTGCAGCCAGCGAGACCATTTCATCTTACAAAAAAAAAAAAAAAAAAAAAAAAAAAAAAAAAAAAAAAAAAAACCTTAGCAGATTTCAAACAACAGATCATGATTGTTAACAACAGCTCAACGCAGCCATTTGTGCGAGGACCGTCGTTAATTTTCTTCGAGCATGCATTTCCTCATCGTCCTGCCAGTTGCGGTAGTATTGCTTCACAATTATACGTATTTGGCGGTAGCAGGAGTACCTAATCCAGTAACCCAACAATTAGTAACCTATACCAGCGTAAAATGGTGACAATTTAGGAAAGGGGAAACGAACAAAAGTAAGCGTATACGTAGTAACTCATCGTCCATCTGCATCTGGCTCGACCCGTACCCATTCAATAGAGCTGCGGATGGATCCTCGAAGACCTCTGCCATCATAACATCCCCCCATGCAGCGTCACTGAAATCAACAAATCCCGTCACATCCTTCGTGTCCCGGTCGACAAGGATATTCGAACTGTCTCCAAGATTCACAACAACCAGGCGGGGCTCCGTAACGCCATCTAGAGCCGGGCTAAGCCGCATGACATCGTGGCGGATCTGAGCATATGGCAGTGAAATGAACATATCTTCGGCATCGCACAGGATATATTCAATGAAAACTAGGAAAGCACGTCTCCAGCTCTGCCTTCCCTCACCCTGGGAAACGGAATGGACATTGCCAAACTGGGTGGATGTGAATTGGCCGAGGAGTTTCACTGTCCGTCCCAGTTGCTCATCTATACGGTTTCGATCCGCGGAGCTAAGGGACGACGGTTCAATCTCACTAAGTGGCACTCCGCCGAGTGACTGCTTCAGGAGAAATGGTGTTTTCGGGTCAAATTTCAGGGCATCGAATCTGAAGAGACGGGGGATATATGGGCTGTTTCGTGAGGCCAGCAACGAAAGCACAGCCGCCTCTGTCCTCAGCGAGTGTTTTTCTTGACGTAGCAGCGTGGAGAGTGGCCTGGGACCAGCCTTCATGGTGAGCTCGAGTCCATTGGAGAGCTTGAGAAGGTAACGTGGATAGACGTTATCATTGAAAGACTTATAGTCTAGGACTCGAGCAGAAGGAAATATAGGTTGGATCAAGGTTTGGAACATCGCAAGATCCGGGCGGGTTTTAGTCTCAGATTCCAGGATGTAGAGGGTCATTTCCTCATGGAGATGTTTTTATAAAAAAAAAATTAAAAAAAAATAAAAATGTATACTTCAATTGCTTGAACGCTCGCGGAAGATATGGATATAGACAAAGTATAATAAAATCATGATATATGCCCAGCAATTTTCGGACGGGTAGGCATGGATTGGTTGAGAACCAAGGAAACCCCAAGGTCCATATATTTGGGGCTTGCATAGGAAGCGCCTGGGGACAGACACGTTTGATCTGATTATTGACAAATCCTGGATCCCGGAATTGTCCCATAGTTGACTATGGCAGTCGGATTATTCATCCTTCAGGGCGAGGCGAGAGAGGATGTCCTGAGGCCCTGGGCCTCTGGACGGAGCGAGACTGGCGTCCATGCATTCCGAGACGGAAGCCTATAATCTGTGGTGCCAGCCGAGAAGACAAGCGAGAACAAAGGCTGCTCCGACGTGATGGCCGTTGTATGGTGGGACATCAAAGTGGAAAATACTAATATGAGCAACATATAATTACGATGACAGGTGGATACAACCCACCCGTAGCGAAGAAAGCAAAAAAGTCCCGGCTCGCTAACCATACGCGTCATTTCTCGCTTGAGCATTTAAAGGCACCGTGCGTCTTCGCGAGGAGAAAAAATAGAAACCGGTCGTTGGAAGCTCGTTAATGGTTGCATGGATGAAACGCCCTCCATGGGGATGTCATGCCATGAGTGGGCGTGAGGCAACCGCCAGGGAACTAGGAAAACGTCCAGAAAAAAAAAAAAAAAAAAAAAAATTCCTCAATCTAGCGAGCGATGAGCTAGAGCGCGGAGGAACGTTGCATCCTCAGGGCAGCGGGGGAACAAAAAAGAAAAGACGGGCTGCTTGAGGTGCGCTTCTTGGGCTGACCGCCCCAGCCATGCCATATGGCCCTTCGAGTCCATAGGGAGCCCATCACGATTCACGACATGACACTACACTACTCCGTACTGCGTACAACTGACCCTCATCCAGCACATGGAGGGCAGGGTCTAACTTACACGTCGGACCCTTGGGCCGTTTGGGCGACAGAGCGTTGGCGAAGCTCAGCTCCGAACAGCCGTAACTTGCCGGAAAACTCGCCAGAATTTGCTGAGTTGAGAAAAGGCTCCGGGTCTGGTCCCAGCGTCAACTGGTTGCAAGATCTGAAACGGCGGTTGGGAGCTTGAGAACTTGTCTGGGAGAAGATTCTGCTGCCCAATCATGGCGGCGGTTTGGCGAGGTGCCGCTAAGCCTTGGCTGGGCTTGGTTTGTACTGTAACTACTGTTGTATTGTTGTTCTCTCTCTCTGGCTGGCAAACGGCACAAATAATAATACAGCAATTATTATTATTAACTAATAAATAAATAACTAGTTAGTTAATGGAGAGAGAGAGAAAAATAAAACATTAATAAGTTAACTAAGTTTCCAACGATTCTTTGTTTTGACAAGCCCTACAACAAGCCGGGATTGCAGGCGAGGTGGAACCTTTTCCAAACAAAAGACATAACTAGTTATCCAGCCCTAACAAAGGAGACAACAACATTCTACATAGTTGTTCCAACTCCCTTCAGCATGAAATCAGCTAGTCTAGTTACGTCATGCCAGCATCACTATCTCACTGTCACCGCTTCCAAGCGATCTTCAAAGTGAGACAGATACGTTAATAACCAAACCAAAATCCGACTGCTTAACCTAAATCTGTTCAGGGTTCCCTCCCCTCCCGCCCTCCCGTCTCGATTTGTGTTCGGACAGTGGATTTTCAAGCTGAATGGAAATGAATGTTAACCCGTTAGCTAGCTCTCTCCCTGATCAAGGTTAAGTATGTACACTGTACACCGCTGCTGCGCCTCTTGTTCTCGCCTGCATTTGGTAGAAACGTCGTATGGAAATTTTGGTGGGATGTAAGAGCGGGAAGCGGAAGCGGGAGATAGCTTTGGAGAGAAAGGAGGGGTCGATGTGGGGGAGGAAGAGTTAGTTAGCGGGATTGGGGGGGGGGGGGGGGAAATATAATTAATCAATAATAATAATAATAACTAAATAAATAAATAAAAGAGAAAGAAGAGGACTGAGACGACAGAAAAAATTGGTATTTTCTCCATTTATAATAAGAATATTTTTTGTTACATGATATCAAACAGAGAAATAATAATAACCCATGGTGACCCGATGTTATTAAAACCACAAAAGAAAAGAAACAGGGAAAATGGAAAATGGAAAATGGAAAATGGAAGAAGCGGAAACGGTTTCAAGCGAGAATTATTCCACCAGGTATCAACAGCCACTTCCAAACACACAAAGACAAAGAAATGTGAGGGTGACCAAGGGGCGTTGGTAACCTACGAAGGGTTTTGTTGATTGTCACGGGGTTCCTTTGTACCCTGGAAATGGTTTGAGAAGTGGAAGTCAAGGAAAAGAAAGGTATCGTGAGAACAGAAGGAGTGGGAAAAAGAATAATTAGAGGATGAATGCGGAGACTAAAGAATAATAATAATAATATCATGATCCAAGAATAATAGACAAGAAAGAAGACATGTGTCAAAATTGCAAAAAGGTCGTCTATCAAGGTGTGCCGTAAAAAAACAAAAAAAAGATAAAAGTAGGGATATGTAGTATAGAGAAGATAGAAGAAGAAGAAAACGGTAAGTAAGGGGTTGGACCTTCAGGCACTATGTTTGAATCCCCCTTTTGCTCACCTCTCCCAAAATCAGACAAACCCATTACAGTGAGCAGGAGATTATGGAATCAATCCCGCCACAGAGAAATCATCATGATGACATATTATGTTGCGCCCTCCCCGTAACATATGCAAAAAAGATAGAGGAAGAAAAAGTTGGTGTTAGGACGAGAGAAGGGAATAAAAGAAATAAAGAAATAAAGAAATAAAAAAAAGGCATGGAAATTTATTTACAATTCGGGCGTTACTGCCTGAATGTCAAAATATCAAGAGTTTGAGAGGACATGATGAATGCATGACTCGTCGAGGAGGAAGAGTTCAGAATGGAGCGATCGATCACTGTGCTCACTTAGGTAGGGTGGGGTGTATGTCGCTGCTGGTAGTAGTAGTATAGTATGGTCGCCTGCGACACATCCCCACCACCCAAAATTCGCTTGTTATCCGTTTTCGTCTATGCCCTTTGCTCACAATGCTTGTTAAGCGCGCGCAGAGGGATCATCACGCTTCCTTCCTGACGGAGTAGAATCATTGTGTATTCATACTCTCGGGGCTAAGCATGCCACCACCGCCTACAGAAGAGCTACCACCCGCTGTAAGGTCCGGCTGATCCGCTCCATTTACCGTTGCACTAGTCGAACCATTCATCTTAATGTCGTTGTTGCTGTTATTAGCGGAAAGGGGTATTTCGGAATCGCTTTCTGCAACCACGCCATCTGCAGATGTCTCGGGCTTGTTTTTCTTCAATGAAGTTACTGCGGCCTTGTCGTCAGTGGTTGTACAGCCGGCTTTCTGCTTCCCAAGAGTCTTGGAGCTCGTAGTGCCCTTGGCCAGGTTTGCGGATTCATCGTTTCCTGGTTCTGAAGTCGAAGCGCCGGCAGTACCGTTATTCTTCTTGGATTTCTTCTTGCTGGGTTCTGGCCCCCCTGGCTTTGAACCACCACCTGTTCCTGCAGGTGGAGCGGGTCGCTTCTGAGGACTGGAACTTACCCCAGTTCCCAGAGGGGCTTGGGGGATTTTACCAGATGCGGGCACTCGCGGCCTGGCTGCCGTCGGCCTCTGTTTAGGAGGTAATTCAAGATCCTCCACCAAAGGCTCGTCATTGTTGGCATGAAGCTTGGCAAGAAAGAAGTTTTGTACCAGTCCGATTTGCGAAGGCAGTGTTTGTAAGGATATTCGTGGGTACGGGGGTGGTGGTGGAAACAATGCAGCGGACGCTTGCGACGAGCTGTAACCGCAATGAATAGTCAGTTTATATGAATACTGTTGCAAAGATGAGGTAGATTTGGTGGTAACATACCTAGTATTCTGCGCTTGGTGTGCACTGTACATCCGGTTCTGAAGCAGGTGAAGCGGTACACTTAAACTGGCAAGTCCAAACTCCTTGTCAAGGCCCAGTTCTTTGAACCCAAAGAAATCCTCATCGATGTCCTCCGCGAAATCGCCGCCGACGAATTGCTCACTTCCGTCGTGGAAAGCGCTGGATCCATCGCCAGATGTATCGGTGAAGGCCGGTCGAAGCAACTCAGTGAGATGGCTCTTCATACGTTCATGTATAACGCTGAGTTTCTGGCCGAGCCGGTCTACATCATCCTTAACGTAGCTTTCAAGCGACTCTACATCTGTCCCAACGGATTGGAGCGTATGTAGAATCATCTCTTCCGCCATGTAGGGTGATTTCCATTGGGAGGACGATGTCGTGGACTCCTCAGCTCGTGGCACTTTGGGAGATTCCATGTATGTCTTGAGTGTGGACCCAATTTTATAGAAGAAATCGGCGGCGACGTCCGTAACAGCATCAAGAGCAGATGGCTGATACTCCTCGAACCCGGCATTGTAGAAGATTTTCCCAACAGAGCGTTGGAGAGCTGCTCTACATACCCATGGGCTTATGACAGGACCCTCGTCATTCATCACATGGGTTGGGACATCTCGTTCGACAAAAGGCTCTGGATTGTATTTCTGGAATTGGTTTTGGTACATCTTTACCAGATATTAGATATGTCATTCGTTGACTTGGTAGGAAGCAAAAGGTGAAAGAACACATACCTGAGATTGAAGTTGCATCTGCTTAACGATTCCTATTTTCGAGCAGATTTTCCTGGTCTCCTGCATTTGACGCATGTTCGCGTCCATTTTTTGAGAAAATTTGCTCTTAGGCGCCGTGAAATACCCCTTAGGAAGGATTCTAAGAAACTCTTCCGAAGGATCTACAACATTGCCTTCAGAATCTTCAATCCAGTGTAATTGTTCAGGGAGGTCCGGAATTCCCGACATTGTATCATAGTAGTCGGGCAGCATTTTATCTTCCTCCTCCTCAATTCCTTCCGCCAACGTCTCACCGGTGGTCTCTGCCTCTTTGGAATGTGGACCCGCAATAGCAAGTCTGTCGCTGTCCTCCATGGCTTGTCTCTGATTTCGGAGCCACCGCCTCATCCCAGCCTTTGTTCTCAACAAAGCCGGCTCATCAGAATTCAGCTTGTCCCCCTTGAAAAGTCGATGTCGCTCCGCGGCAAGAAGGGCCCTGTCCTTTTTGGTAACTTGTCTCCATATTTTGTATTCGGGGTCCTCAAACTCGAGCATTGGACGCGACGACGCACTTGAGTTGACAGGAACACCAAATGAATCAATGTCCATTGCATCACCTTGACCTCCAGCAGCACCAGTACCGAGGCCGTTTGAACCAAGAGGAGTCAATGTGCCAGGGGGCGGGGTGGAAAATCCATTCTGACTTCCCTCCAAGGCCGTATCCGATTCTGCACGCACTGTGGTCACGCCCTGAGGTTTATTCTCGGCCACAGGTGTAGCTTCAGGGCGACTTCCAGGGGCTGTTCTACCGGTTCCTACCCGCTTTTTAGATTTCATCCCTGGAGCCTTGCGACCTCTGGACGACATAATCGGCTCATCGTCGCTCTCTTCGGCGCCATCCAGCTCAGCCAATTGTAGTCTTCGTTCCTCAGCTTCAACCTCAGCACGATCTCGTATGATGATATCTGGTATCAAAGGGACAAGTTTCTCCGTTTCCTTCCTCATGTAGAGCGCATGTTTTCTAAGGAAATGCTCAGGGTTGGCGTTGTATTTTAGGCAGTTGGCCCAGATGAGATTGAGATCTTCTACGAACTCCTGTTTCGACTTATATTGGACTGCCTTGAGTTTTTTGGTCATTGTCCCTAGGTCCATCGGACGTTTGATAACTAGGATAGTCAGTTAAGGATTTGGCCTCGACAACAACAAAGAAAGATTTAAAAAAAAGTTGACTCACTGTTATAGTAGTCAGGAGCTTCCCGTTTGTTCACTCTCGTCAAAAAAGCACTAGAGTGCTCCGTCATAGCTTTCAATTCGCTGAGAACCTTTTCCGCGGCCTCGTAAAGCTCCTCCTGACCTACCTTCTCCTCGCTTGCCCATTTACTTCGGTTTTTTCTTACTTCGCTCATCAGACTTCGAAGCTCAGCATCTGAAGCCTGGACTTCATTGCGTTTCTTATCTATTCGTGCAATTAGGTTCTTTAGGGTCAAGCTCGAGGCGCCAAGGTTCGCGCTACTCAAAGTTCCGTGGCCAGAGGTGGTAGCATTAGAGGAATTCGCATTGTTGGCGCCCTGGTTGGACATTTCCGCCTCGACTTGCCTCTCGGATTCCTCCAGTCTTTGCTGGTCCAGCATAGCATCCCGATCATTTTCTAGGGTATAAAACAGGGTATGGAAGCTTCGCTTTGCAGCTTCTTCAGTTGCCTTCTTATCCTCTTCTAATTTTTTGCGGATATCTTCTAATGACTGCTTCCCTGATTCTTTTGGGGTCTCTGACGAGGTTGTAAGGGTGATCGATGGTTTTTGAGGCGGTGAGGGGAGGGTGTTTGGTTCCGATCGAACGGCAGTGGGTTTCGATTTGGTCGGGGAGGAGGGAGGAGGGAGAGCGCTTTCGCTTTCATCATCGTCGTCGTAGTCGTCGTAGTCATCTTCGTCCAGTTTCCGTGCTGCCTTCCGAGGCGGAACTGAAGATTGCGCTTGACCGTCGGCCGCGGTAGTAACCTCCTCGGCATTCTGAACAGCTTCAGGGTCATTGTCCCCGGAATCAGGAGCTTTTCCAAAACTAAATAATGCGCTAATTTTCGCTTCGCCTTTCTGATAGCAGTCTCGAAAAGAAGCAACGAGCGGGTCTTCTTCGGAGATGGTATCAACTTCGGATATCATTTTTCCAGATTGCGCCCCGTCTGCGCTACCGCGGAATCGCATCTGAGGAGTACGGGGTCGCGAGGGAACTTTAGAGAGGCCATTGATAGAAGGGTGGGAATCATGGTGGTCATCGGGAGGTCGGAGATGGCCTGGTGGTAGCCAGGTGTGGTGTTGGCCGATGGACATTACCGCTCCAAACCCCCAGCACTGGGGTGGGCGAGGGGGGTCGTCCCTCCACGCTTTTGAGCCAGTTCAGCGAGCGACAGCAACGGCACGTAGGGAGGTGCAAAAGCGGTATCAAACGAAAGCCAGGATCGGCATAAACCATCCGGCGATGTATCTGGGGCCGGAAATGATGGATGTGTCGCGTTATCGATGGCAGACGACCGGGCTTCTTTGGTGGAGATTCTTGCGGAGGTGACAAGACGTGAACTTGCTCAGCTAATATCAGCATTGGCGCGGGTCACGGGACCTTGGGACAGTCGCAGGAAGCTCTCGAAGGTTTGACGGCGGAGGAACACCAAAACACAACAACCACGGCAAAGACTCCGCAGACAAGAGTATATATCAGATCTAATTATCATATCCACTGCTACGGTGCACACGAAACTTCTCTCCTCATATCTCCTCCGCTTCGCCAAACCAAAAGATATGGCCATCCAGGTTTCCGGCCTGCTGTCATCTGCTTACTGAACCCCCGTCATCCGCCATCTCACCCGCACGCTTTCTCCCACGATCATAAGCTTTCCCTAGAACCACACAACTATAGAGTGGAGTACGCACATCCACGGGAATTTTGTTATTCTGCACATTAATTCCACACAATTAAGCTACTGCCATGCTGCGGATACGTTACCCATTCGCTGGTATGTAAAGTGTCCACCTTCATGCTGGGCCACGCCAGTATCTACAGGCCCTCCCCCATCCTTATACATGCCTTCAGCCTTTTCACTGCTACGCTTATCTTCTAAAAAAAAAAAAAAAAAACATCGTTGTGAACCCAGGCGCATTTGTTGTCCTCTGCCTCCTATCCGCTTACGTCGGCCTCCTTCCAAATAGCGACAATGCGACTCCAGGCGGAGATGACAAGAATAAATCACCCACCTCCACCCGTCCTTCTCTCCAACCCAATGACAAAGTCCTCCACCTCGTAACCTTCTTCTTCCTCTCCCTCACATTCTACTGGGTCCTGGATACCACACGCCGACGCACCCTCCACCTGACCATCATGGTCTGCACAATGGGTCTCGGAATCGGTTCGGAAGTCCTGCAAGCCCTCCTCCCCAACGGCCGTTCTTTCGACCCCTTCGATGTCCTCGCAAATATCGTCGGCAGCCTAGGCGCTGTCGGCTTATGTACATGGTACCACAAACGGATGCTGGAACGGCGGCGCAAGGCACGCTTTGGCACGGGGTTGGACGAAGCAGGCGATGATGTTGAGCTGGGAGGCGTTGGTGTAGAGAACGGGGATCATAGTGGACTTGGTCCGCAGGAAACAGGTGTCACGAGGGCGCCACGGACGCTGGAGCAGGAGGTGGACAATTGGGATGAGAATGCGGTGGATAATTGGGAGGAAGGGGATGACGATTTCCAGACGAGGACGAGCGCGGAAGGTGATGGGCAACGGACTCCCCCGAGTAGTTCGGGGAATGATGATATTGAGGAGGCCCGGAAGATACGTCCTGATTGATCAATTGATTGATTGCTCCATTTTCGACTTCTATCTTTTTTCGTTTCGTTTGATTTGATGGGCTAGCGAATAGATAATTGATTGGGTTTTTGGCTGGATAAAATATCTATTTTTTTTGTTTTAGTACGACAGGAAGGAAAGCAAGCGACAGCTTACAGGTACGCAAGGGCAAAAAAGAATTGCAAGCGGGAAATATACTCCAGCGGGTAGCGGGTTCATATATTGCTTCTCGACTTTATTTTTATTTTTATTTTTATTTCTATTTATTTTTATTATTTTTGGTTTTCGCTCCATCTTGATTGCAATTTATGACAAACTGTATACAACTTTCTAAAACACATGTAGCGCATAACGGCACATGTTTACGGATTATTTTTTGCTCCGCTTTCACCTAAAGTCCGATCGAGGGTAGCATCTTAAGAATACAGTAAGTGGGCGCTTGCTGTCCAGGCAATATACTACTAAATATACCTGTGAGAATGACCTCCCACCGTTCCCGTTATGAATGCAATCTAGTATATATAATATGTTCAAGGCCGTGTTTCGTTTCAGTTATAATCGTTTTGCCTTTTGTCTCAACATTTCAAGATGTTACAATATTGTAACTACTTAGCTTGAACGACCGTGACGGCGGACCAGCCAACCAACGTCTGTCTGTTTCCAGCGAACGATTCAGAAAGAGAGGAAATAAAATAGAATAAGAAAACGTAGAGAAATATGAAATTTAGTAATAACGAAGAAAAAAAAAAATTGCAAACCATAGCGGATGATCAGGGAGACCATCCTTTCCTAACCTCCTAATCCATCTGAATGACGAGTTCCTCTATGTATTCAAATACCCATCCCATGCAAGTCATTCACGAAACATTATGTGCGTTCAAAGAAACCACTATGAGAGTCATGACGATATAAATAAAAGAAAAAAAGGAAGAAAGGGGCCAGCAAGAAAGTGTTGCCAAGAATGGGACGGAACAAGGGGATGACGGAAAAAAGTTAAAGTGAAAATGCAAAATAATAACCACGGAAACTCAGATACCACATGATGAAGTAAAAGACATAGAAAATCGATCATAGAAGGGACATGCAGGAAGGAATAAACCGATGTAAGTAGAAAGTTGAAAATGTATAAAAAAGAGAAAATGGGAAGGATATAATTGCCGTAAAGGTTCACCAACGCATAAGTTTACGGTATGTATCCAAAACGCGTAAGGGGTTATGAATGAAGAAGGGAAAAAAAAAATGATAAGCAGCCTCCAGACCTCTATCTTTTGCCTGGGGTAGGGATAGAGTCGATGATGGGAACTAGCTCTTCTTTCTGTGTAGGCTCGAACGGGGTGTCGGAAGAGTACTTCGCCATCTTCTGCGAGCGGGATCCAGGAGACTTCACTTTCTTGTCATGCATATTAGTATTATTATTATCCCGGCCGAGGAAAAGGTGAGCCTGTTCCCTGAGAATATCGTAAAGAAATTGGTATTGCATTTCAGTATAGACCATGTGTATCCGCTGTTCGCGGAGAAGATTCACCGTATCGAAGATCGGATCTGTGTCGTCGGTTGTCTTCAATAAGTTTCCCGTCTGCATCTCCCTTAGAAGGTGATCAATAGTTATGAACGTGCCTGTCCGACCTACGCCGGCACTACAGTGTACAATGCGAGGATTTTCCAGAGAGCCGGCCTTCTCAGCCGTGACCTTGGTCAACTCGACGATTGCATCGCGGTCTTTGCCCTCCGGCTTCATATAATCAGTCCACCCAGCAAATAGATAATGCCAGACAATCTTGGTTTGGGACTCAAGCTTAAGTTCGAGTTTGCGGATTTCACAACGACATTTGTCGTCGTAGGCATATTCCAGAAGGGACACTTTTCCAACAAAGGTTCTTTCCACCTCGTCATTCCCGTTGCGATCTACAAATGGATCGGCGGCTACGGCGCGAGAAAGGTGGAACACGGGTTCTTCCATAGTCAGTGGGAAATATGGCGAACATTTCTCTTTGCCTTGTTCATAACTCTGGGTGAGCATAATCACTACTGCAACATCTCCGGTTTCATGAAGCACCATACTCCAAAAGTGCTCTAAGTAGTCGGTTTTTGGACCCTGACGTGAAAAGGTTAGTGAATTCTTCGCCCGAAAAATAGATCAATAGCAAGGGGAGGATCACGTATTTACCTGTGCAGCAATGTAGCGAGCAGGGTTTCCGGTTTTAGAGTGGCTCAAAGAAATCGGAGACGCGTTGATAAAGTCGCATTCCCCATCCGGCACTTTAAGATGGATCCGAGAATGTGACCACACCTTTATATTGACATATCGATTCCTCGGTAGAATCTCTGGGCGATTCTCCAAAACCCATTTCCGCGATTCATTCCCCCCCGCTGGCCCTCCTATCCCCGACAATCTAATCGCTTGGAGCATCTCGATTTCGCTGAATTTCTTCTGAATTTCTGTTCAAGCCGTAAAAGACAGTAGCACATACATATTAGTCAATTGATTGATACACAACTTCCAATGATTCTGTAACTAACCTGCACCTGAGCAATGTAAGAAAGCTGGAATGCCCCGTTTATCTCCGTTATCCTCAGTCGACATGGTGCCATCCTCCTCTTCTCCTGAAGCCGACGCCCACTGTCCCGAAGCCCTACTATCCACCGAGCGGGACCGTTTGGTCAATGGCGACTGGAAATGAGCCTCAGACATCTTCGCAGCGGTTTTACGTCGAAACGATTTGGCTTGGCCGAGGAGATCTCGTATTTTCTTTGGCGTGCGATGTCTTGAGTTGTTGCGCGAATAGCTACTTTGATAGTTCGGGGAAAGAGTCGAGGGGTTGTTGGCGGCTTTCAGGGAAGCGGAAGCGCCAGAGCCCACTGTTGAAGTTGGAGATGTGGCATCCAACGCAGCGGGACTAGGGCAGCTATCAGAGCTGTTCACTATCACTTGTGGTGCCAGGTTCGCTGTCCACTCGCGCAAGCGAGTCCTGGTTGAGGTAAATATAGGTGGTTGCACTTGGATGGTGATGATGGAATGGAATCGCCAGAACCACGAACAAGAAGCAAAAGGAATGACAGAACAAACGTGCATCAGCTGGTTAGATAGTTTCTAAACATGCTTTTACAGTTAGTGCTTGCTTCCCAACCGCTGGTCTCTTTAGCCAAGCGATCCGCTGGCGGTCGTGTGCTGTGTAGTCCGTAGCCCGGTGATGCCGTTGTTTGCAATTGGAGCTTCGCATCCAAATCGCGCTTATATCTAGCTATAGCCAGCAAGCCACCTATAAATATGACGTTATGAGTAGCTGATACTCAAGGGAGAAAGTGTTGAAGGATTGCAATGCGGGGGTCTATTATGATGTAGGCACTTCAGGGGTTTGCGCTGAGCCGAGTTGAACAACGACAAGGTATCCCTGCGACAGAGGTGTCAATCGACTATTTATAGCAGAGTTTCAGGCAAACTATCAGCACAGGAAAAGCGAGAGAAGTGTAGAAGACGAAGATCCGTGGTTGAAAAAGCGGGCTTGCTCGACGAGTGAAGCATGCAAGTGGTCAGTCTCTTGGTAAATAATATTTTTAGTTATGATTTCTTTTTGCCGGGTTGACCAGTTGACTATTTCTTAGACGCGCCACCAACTTCGATAGCGCCAAACCAACCAGTGTCACCACCGTTACAATCCTACCAAGGACGAACACCAGGACCACCAGGACCACCACGGCCATCAACGCATCGACAAACGTCCAAATCTTCTCGTTCTCGGTCGCCATCGTTCCACAAAGCCTGGAGCTTGGGACCACTTCCTGGGATTTCTCCAGACGCCTTTGAACTTCACTGCAACCCGCATGTAAGGAGAACATCGCGCCTTGCCGGATGGCAACAGCAAGCATCTGCACACAACCTGCATAGAACACAGCATGTGGTGGCTCCGTTTTCTTGAGGTATGTCATAATGTCAAGTTTTTTCAACTCAGGCGCTTGGCTGACACGGCCTTCTTCTTTCGCAGATTTGGCTCACTGCAAGAGTAAGCTGCCCATAGCCCAGTATGCATATCGAAGCAAGCATAATCTCGTTCTACATTTAACACATTTTCTCCTTCTTCTCCTTTTCGCCTGCGCCCTAGCTTTTATCGAGCCCTGCATTCCACAGAACAGTGAGGCATGTGCACAGGAAGGTCCAGGAAATTCGACATGGCAAATCTCCGGAAGATATGGGAGGCACCAATATCGATAGTCAGTTTCTCCCCCACCCCCTCCCAACTTGACCACCCCTAGGAAGGACAAGCAAATAAGGGATGCACCAATTTACTGACGGGTTGCGTTTCGAAACAAATAGAGCCAGAGGGCGGCCTCAAGCGATTTATCGAGCTGTTCCGTGAAGAACTGAAAAACCAAGCTGGAAAGGGCCCTCCTAAATCATAACCCAGCTCCGGATGGCCAGATTTCTTAATAAATACCCGTCTCCACATCTATATTATATGGACTTGCCCTATATGTTCCCCATGGACATGAGTTACCTCTCACGTTCGCGTCTCCGGTGATACGATAAAAATGTAATTATAACTTATATATACCCCAAATGATATTTTCGCCTTGCCTTTGCCAAACACACCGGGAAAGGAAAAAAAAAAAAAAAAAAGGCACACGCTACCTACCCCCCGAACTAAAAATCCGGATAAAGATTGGGCTACTTCTGCTTTACACACCCCCGTGCGATGTGTCCCTCATTCTATCCGAAGAGCAATTTCTTTATTTCTTATTTTTCGTGCTTTCCCGCAGTTAAAATGCCAACTGTCAAAAAAAAAAAAAAAAAAAAAAAAAAAAAAAAAAAAAAAAAAAAATTAATCCACTTGCAGCTTGGCGTTGCGTACCTAGGATATGAGCATACAAAAATAATGAAATTTTGTGTATACAGAAAACTTGACCTCGCTAAGTGCGCCACTTGACCTCGTTATGTAAGCTGACCTTGCAAATGTGGCCCGTGCCACTACCGTGTATACAGAAAACTTGACCTCGCTAAGTGCGCCACTTGACCTCGTTACATAATCATGACCCCGACCTCGCACAATACAGTAATAATCAGTTGATAATTGACTTTCAATCTTTCAATTCACTCAATCTTTCAATTCACTCAATCAATCAAAGCATTAGCTGATTCATAATCAATTAAATGAACAGACAAATTCATATAAAATATAAAGAGATATTTTACAGAATTTTAAAATATATTAAGATAAAAATATTTAACAATTAATTTTAAATTGATTTTAAATTGATTCTGAATTGATTGTTAATTAATTATAATAATAAAAATAAATTCAATCTATATATTTAAGTAATTAACAATTGATTGAAAATCAATTGATAATCAATTCAGTGTAAATTATATAAATACTTACTTTATTATTAAATTCAAGAATAATTTCAGTATTAAATTAATTTTAAATTGATTTTAAATTGATTTTAAATTGATTTTGAATTGATTGTAGAATTAATGGTAAATAATTGAGTAATTTCAAATTATAAGAAAAGATGTATTAAGTGAGATCAGATAGTGACACGGGTTACATTTATAAGATCAGCTTATATAACAAGGTCAAGTGACACACTTAGCAAGGTCAAGTTTTCTGCTTTCTGATCACTATCTGATCTCACTCAATACATCTTTTCTTGTAATTTGAAATCACTTAATTATTTATCATCAATTCTACAATCAATTCAAAATTAATTTAAAATCAATTTAAAATCAATTTAATACTGAAATTATTCTTGAATTTAATAATAAAGTAAGTATTTATATAATTTACACTGAATTGACTATTAATTGATTTTCAATCAATTGTTAATTACTTAAATATACAGATTGAATTTATTTTATTACTATAATTAATTAACAATTAATTCAGAATCAATTCAAAATCAATTTAAAATCAATTTAATACTGAAATTATTCTTGAATTTAATAATAATACTGAATTGATTATTAACTGATTTTCAATCAATTATTAATTACTTAAATATGTAGATTAAATCTATTTTTATTACTATAATCAATTCAGAATCAATTCAGAATCAATTTAAAATCAATTTAAAATCAATTTAAAATCAATTTAATACTAAAATTATTCTTGAATTTAATAATAAAGTAAGTATTTATATAATTTACACTGAATTGACTATTAATTGATTTTCAATCAATTGTTAATTACTGTAAGAATAAGTGCTTACAGGCAATTATTCAGGTGTTTGCAGCTTGATGTGATATGTACTGTTAACTATTAGAAGTATTTGTGATAGAAAGATAAAATGTAGAAATTAAATGTATAATAATATTCAAGCTGAGTTATAAATAGTATTCATGAACTTCAGTCTATATAGTTGTATGTAGTCAAGAGCTGCTAGCTCTATTAATTATATAAGAGATAGAAATAGAAATAAAGAATTTGTGAGAAGTGAGATTTCTATCACGCTTCCGGCCGCGTCAAGACTCTGTTGCAGTTTCACACGGCTCATCACTTTCATGTGAATAATTTCATCTCATTCAAACTGGTTTTCAATCACTCTATGACATTATTCAAATATATCATAGAAAGATTTAATTAATAAATATAAGAATCTTACTTCTATACAAGATCAGTAGATCACTCTTTCTTGATAATAAGATGTCACTGAGATATCACTCTGACTATTCTCACTCATGAAATAAGAGAAGAGTATTCACTTATTATCTATATAGAATAACTAGATGCTGACTTCTCATTAAAAAAGTCAGTGATTCATTTTACTTCTACTGAAATATATATAAGAGTTACTGTATATCTTATACAATCTTCTTAGTATACTAAGTATTATATCTGTGATATTCTCATAATAATTCTGTAGTCTACAAGCTTGCTATTTAAGCAAGATAGTTAAGCTCACTTATATAGCTTTTTAAAATAACTATCTCTATATAATGCTACTGACTAGTCACTGCTTTAGTTCTGTTATATTATAATTCAAATCACTCAATCTGATTATATATTTGAATCAGTTAAGCTCTAATAGATTAATATAATCTCATGCATCTGCACTGAGACTGACCTGATTTCACTCTCTGAAGAAAACACTACATTATTCTCTAGAGTGTGTACATCTCTATCTCAGCAGAAATCTGAGATTTCTGAACTCACTGTATATTTTGATATGAGCTCTTTAACTATTCTGTCATTACTATGATCTCTACACATCTACATTTATTATAAAGATAGAGAGATTAAGATCAGAGATTTACTAAGATATAAGAGAAATATTTTATCTGAATTTCACAGCTTTATCTATACTCTTGAACAGAAATTTCATCTTAATCTGAATCAGTATAATTAGACTGACCGTGTGACCGTGTCTGAGACCAGGACCAGATTTTTTGATAATCTCATTATCAATTTGACTGATCTCATTACACAGTTTTAACATTAGATAGTGGTCTCATACTGTCTCAGTGGGACTTACTGTCTACTCTTGTCACATTTTTCAAATGGGATCATGATTTTCACTTCTCAATTTAAATTATTTTTATTGCTTTAAATGACTTTAAATCTCATTTGAGTGTTACCAAAAAGCGTTACTTTTTAAAAAATTAAAAATAGTCTAAAAAAAACCTTAAAATGTCTAAAAATAGTAACTTTATGCCAAGAATGGGACTAAATGGAACCAAATGGGATCACTTTCTCATTTTTTTCAAGTCATGGTTTCATTTTAAGATCTGATATATAGTCACTTTACATGTTGTTTTGATAGCCAGTCCCAGCGGGATTCACGCCAAGAAATGTATGAGACCAGATCAAATGAGATCAAACGTGAAATTCATGGTCCCGGCGGCCAGTCTAAGTATAATACTTATAAGATATAAGTAATATACACTGCTAATCTTCTTGAAGACATCTCTGCAACTACTTGAGTCATTAAGAAGAGAGAGCTTGAGTGTATTAATACTGTTATAACTTGAGAAGAATTCAAGAACTTTCTACTGAATCAAATCAAAGATTACTGTAATCACAGCTTTACAGCAGTACAGTGATTTAACTTATTATATTAATAAGATGATGAGAATTCTGTCAATTTCAATACAAGATTTAAAGAATATTGAGAGGAATTAACTGATGATTTGAATCAATTAAAAACACAGCTTTATCTCATAAAGCTGACTCATAAGGTACAGATAATAATATTATAATATCAGACTTCATCAATCAATCACACTGAGCTTGTCAATCTGACTTCTCAGATCTATTTGAATAATCAATTCTCTGAGAAAAAGGTCAATAAGACTTCTTCTAAGTAATCAATAATAGAATCTAAATAGTATCATGACAGCTTCAGTGTAGAGAAAGTAAAGAAGAATTCTAAGTATTCTGATTCTTCACTCACTGTAAAGAAATGTTAAAAAAGATTTGATAAAGATCTTTATTTCAACTGTGAAGCTGATAAACACTATATCAGTAATTATAAGAAGCTGAAGAAGAGAAGAAACTGAGAAGATATCTTCTCAAAGTTAACTTCTCTTCTGACAAACATATCTACAGAAGATAATGAAGAGAAAGAAATGAAGAATTGATAATTCTCATATCTCTGAGTTCATGTTATAATCACAATATATATCTCAAATGAAGAGATATCAGTGAGATGTCTACTCAACTCTGAAGTAGATATCAACTTCATATTCTATTTCTTTTCTTTAATAAAGAGTTGAAAGAAGATAGATTCATCAGATCATGTGAAATTTACTGATGAAATAAAATATCACTGTTTTAATATAATCTAAGTGAAGTGTGTGATCACAGACTCAGAAGAAATCTTTAAGAAGAGCAGTCTGCTTCTTTATACAGTTAATATCATAGATGAGAACATCATTCTAGATCTTCTATAATTAAGAGAAAACAATTCTTTCATTAACTGAGTCACTCAGATGT